ACTTAGAGTCTTAGATAAATATAAGACTTTGACGAGTGAATTAGTTAGAGAATTAGCTTTAGCGTCACATGTATAATGTACAGCTTACAATTGATTAATAAAGCATACATAACTAGCCTGACAGAGAGTTATAATAATAAAAAAAAAAAAAAAAAAGAATTTCATTTTTCTAGTTCAAGGTATCCTAATTTGATACTTTATTTAAATAAAAAAAATTAATAAAAATTGATCTAATATTATAAGTATTAATAAAAAAAATAATATATTTTTTTTTAAAATCTAAACAAATATTATCAAGGGAATATCAAAGAATATATTTCTCTTATCAAGTATATACAACTATAAAATAGGATTAGCTTAATATAATAATAAAATAATTTAATACTAATTAACCTAAAAGACTTGCTATTAATAATCATCTAATCATTAGATACAATAGATTTATTCACATTCTGAATAAAAGTAGATTTATTTAGATCAAGTTATAATAAATTATCATTAATTTGTATATATATAAAAATAGATAGTTTGCAATGATATGATTGATGTAATGACCTAACATATTATTAATAAAAGCCTTACATTTAGTATCAGTTGCAGTTAGAAAAAATAAATAATAAAAATTGATCTCAACAAACTCTATTTGAATTTTTAAAAAACCTAATTTTTGTTTAAAAGTTTAATTGTTATAAAAGCATATTGAATGAAAAAAAATTAAAAACCTTTCAAAATAATGCAACACAAAGAAACCTTTCCAATTTATTACTTGCAATTTTGCAAAAACACAAATTTCAAATTATTCAATATTAATCGTTACTTTCGAAGCTGGCATTATTGTGTAAAATTTTTCTCGCACATGGAGTAATGAAAACGAATGGAATATGAAAATTAGAGTTTGAGGAATGCAAAGGTTTTAAATTTGGTCAAGGTTTACTGTCTAATAAATCAATTTTGAATTCGATATGTCAACCTAATATTTATCACACCTCTATATTTTTGTGTTGGGGGATGCAGAAGTCGAAGGGGTGGATGAAATTGGTTCTTGTTTAGTTTTCATATGGACAATTATGCCATCCTTATCTCTTACGGCTTTCATTGTCGCGATTTTTGGTAGTAATGAAACCCTACTCTGAAAAAAAAAAAAAAATTCAACAAATAAATAACATAAAATGATAAAACCGGTATTTAAACCTACCCATTTTGATTCTCTATTCACAATTTCACTGCATTTTCTCACATTTTCGCTCGTGAGAAACCATCTTTCTTCCGCAATAATTGATTTCTTATCTTTCATATTCTCATCATCGATGCCTCGTTCCAAATCAACAGCATTGGGTGCAATATACTCAAATCTCAACGATGACCATTCTCCCTTTTCTCCGTATGCATTATTTTCTTGCGAGTCCCCTCGATCTTGATCTTCAATTTTTTTTTTACAAAGTAAGATCACGATGTTTTCCGAAGATAACGAATAAGAATTTTTAAGTATATCAGTTGGTGGATGATAAATCTTTAGTATATATTTTTGTAGAGCATCATTATTGTTTGAGATGATTTCTTGGATGGTTGTCTAGTTGTTGTTTGTTGGATTTGAGTGAAGGAGATAGTAGGTAAGCTATATTTACAAGGCAAGAAAAATTTACTCATAATTCTTAATGCTTTGCGAGCAACTATACTAAAAAATCAAAAATGGCTTTCAATTCGCAACAATTCCTAGAGTGCCCACTAACACTTACACATTCGTCTTGGAAATCAACTTCAAGCAAAGGACTGTTATTATTAGAAATCACCTCAGTAACGTTATCACCGGTATCATTTTGTAAATATTCATAAATTATAGTGGCAAAATTGACGGTCTGATGGAAATTTATACGCTGAAAGATTTCTTGATCTGGGTTTGTAAACGAAGATGAATGCATGTTTAAGAATAAACTGCGTAACTCTAATTGATTTGGTCAATCAAGTCATACATTCGAAAGTAAATGTGGCATAATTCAATTCGTCATCTGTTATAATAAAAATGCATGCGCCTTGCTTGCTTAACTTTATCAAAAACGATGCCTCGTTTCAACCGGTTTGTTTTATTCCTGATATTAACCGTTACCTTTTATTATCTGAACGCGACCGCAGCAAAAGGACCTATCATCACAAGCAAAGGTTCGTTAGTGGTTTGGATACCTTTTTTTAAATTAAATAACATAATTTTCAAAATTCATTATGAACGAACATAGTATACTTCGATATCAAACATGGTGATAAGAATTTAGGTCGAGTTATCCTTGGATTATATGGAAAAGTATGCTAAAAATATGAATATTAGTACAGAATCGAAATTTTTTGTCACAAATTGATCTGAGTGTGTTTTTTAGACAGTTCCAAAAACCGCCGAAAACTTTCGGGCATTGGCAACCGGGGAGAAAGGTTATGGATACAAAGGCTCAAAATTCCATCGTGTGATCAAGGTTAATTTACAACAACCACACCACTTCACTGGTGAAATTATATTCTGAAATTATTAATTAGATTAATTTTCGAATTGATTTCAGGACTTTATGATTCAAGGCGGAGATTTTACAAATGGCGATGGCACAGGTGGAAAATCCATTTATGGCGAAAAATTTCCCGACGAAAATTTCAAACTCCGACATACTGGACCCGGTGTCTTAAGTATGGCCAATGCTGGAACCGATACGAATGGTTCTCAGGTACGTGAACCTCTGGGATTTAGGGTAACCAGAATTTTTTAATTAATCAATTTATGGTGAACCAGTTCTTCATCTGCACCGTTAAAACCTCTTGGCTTGATAATCGTCACGTGGTGTTCGGATACGTCCTGGAAGGAATGGAAGTTGTTCGCGCCATCGAAAATGTCGAAAAGGGTCCTAATGACCGACCAAAGGTTGATGTTATAATCGAAGATTGCGGTGAAATCCCCGTTGAAGAAAACTTTAGGGTGGAATTGTAAATAATTCGTGTAACTTTAGCGAGTTATTCTTTTTTAATTATTTAAGATTACAATCACAATTAAAATAATTACTTGCGCATTTTAATCTAATATTTAAATTTTCAAGTGATCAAATATCACGTGAATGATAAACTTCTAAATAAATTACACTATTATTATTATTATAACAGAATTAATACAAAATATACATTATTATGCCCTGATATATTAACAATAAGTCAAATTATAAGTCATCGAAAATCACTGAAAATAATTTTTTGCAGACGATTACTTAAAATCCAGATCCTAGCCAGCTGCTAACTAAATTCTTGAGGCGATCCCCTTGAAGTAATGGTGCAGTTAACACAGACTCCACGCGCTCCACAGCTGGCTTTATTTTTTCCAATTTTGACTTCTCCAAAGGCTTTGCTTTCGCACGAACGATCTTCTCTTCTTGAAGTTGCAAATCCATTTTTCTCCACAAATTTAAAATATCAACTGCTTGATCACTGGGACACAGCGCTAAAGCAAAACCCATGAGGATCATTTTTTGTTCCAAATCCTCGTAATCCTCTTGCCTAGCAACTTCATAACAAATCCTCCATGCAACGTCCCTTGCTGAGGCTAACGTGGAATCATTATCGTCACATTCTTTTGCAACTTTCATAAGGTCCTTGCACATGTGACATGCGATGCTGAAGTTACCATCACGTAAAGCGGCGTCTGAGAGCATGGCCATTACTTTGACTTCTGCAACTTTGTCATCCCTATAACCTAATTTATTTGCGAGTTCCATAATAAATTGGGGATCTTTGTAAGACGTTTCGTGTGTGCTCAACAAACGTTCTATCAGGTCTAGGCGGTTTTGTGACAAGCGTATTTGAATAGGATGTATCGTGATCCCGGGTTGATAGCAAACCTTTCTTTCAGATAAGATGTGCGTGGCCTCTATGAATTCAAGTTCAGACTTTATCGAGCTTGATATCGGTAGTATTTGAAGACTGTACAAGAAAATAAAATAAGTAAAGTGGATGGATTTTTTCCTGACAATATGATATTGAAGTTACCATTCATACGCCATCTTCATGTAACCATAATACATGTTACCAGAAGAGGCATTGTCAAAGAATTCCCTGGATGCGTCGATGACTAATTGTTCGGCGACTTTCATGCTCAGAGGTTGTGGTTTATCGGTCGGTAGAAGGATTTCTCGTGATAACCGAAAATCTGAAAATCAAGGGTTATGGATGGCACGACGAAAAGGGAAATAATAACCAAATAAACGTTTTTCATGCTTTACAATAAATAAAAATTAAGGATACTTCCGCAGCCCAACAACCCTGAAATAAAATCGACGTAAAGTTCTTCGGCCAAAATCTTTCCCAAGATGCCGTTATCCCGTAATTTTTGCATATCTTCCAATAACAAAAGCCATTCGTTATCATTTTCAAATCGTTCTCTGCCGTTCTCCGGGTTACTGTGAGCTTTTCGCGTCAATTTGATGCATAATTGTTTTTGCAATGTGTAACTCTCCGCACTTTGAATAAACCATCGTAACGGTAAGGCACTATCATACCGCGAAAGTATTTCCAAGGCGTTCAAGTGAATTTCCAGAAAATCCATGATCTTTTGGAGCTGCTTCTCGTTTTTAGTTTTAAATATTTCAAGAAATTCACGTGACGTAAAACTTTGTAGTGAGTTGGCCTCTATGGCAACACCGTCAACCTCGGAATCCTCCACCTCGAAAATTGGAAGGCATTCGAACATTCGCGTCACAATGTCCAATCGATTACTAATACCGGCATCTCCATATAGACATGCCAGAATCACTCTGGCCAAGTCTTCGTCCGAAGTTATAATACGATCCTCGGTGTCCAAAGTAGGTTTAGAAGCTTCAAATAGAAAGCAACACCATTCTGCATTTGATGGAAATGTATCTAAAATATAATTATGCAGGATTGCCATTGGATCTTGCGCGTTCTGTGCGGCGGATTCTTTCGTGGTGTCAATGTTTTGACGAACACGACGAGCGGGCAACAATTTCAGGAAAGGAAGAACGTATTGCTTAACATCATTGACAATGCGTTTCTCGTTAGTTTTGCATAAGAAGGCTTCCACCATTTTCGACTCTGTCAAGGCCTCGAACTTTTTCAACGTCATATGTGTATCTCCGAAATTTGAGGACGGATAACATTCGTAGATCAAATTCGACAACATACGAAGGTCCTCCTCCAAAGTCTCCAGGCCTTTGACATTCTTCTTTATTCCATGGCGAATGAGAGTAAGAGCACTATCCACCTGTCCTGAAGCAGCGTCTATTTCGTGAGCACGATCAATGTACCACTGTGTGATAACGGAGGATGGCGCGGGGTATTGAACGACTTTCAATGGAATTCCAAATTCAGATTCTTCATCGTCCGGTAAGATTCGTTGTTTTATAATCGGATTTTCAACCCAATCTATTTCCCTCCAAGGTTGTTCGTGCCATAGACATTCGCGCATCACATTCTCTTCTGTCGATCCGACGCTCGGTAAAAAGGATTCGTAAGCATTAGGATCGGCTGTCTCCGGTATTTGCTCCAGGATGGTGAAGCGATATGGCAATGTCTCATTGCCGTGACGCGTGAACAAGATGTGGAGTCCAACAAAAAATTCATCCGCTGCAAAGTCTATCGCCTGAGCAGCAATGTTAATATCACGAAACACCGCATAATCATCCGCAAAGGTTGAACCATAATCAACGAACGAAACCCAGTTCCCATTTTCCTCAGTTGAATCCATGGTACCATTTTCAATATCCCTTTTTGTTTTTGCGTCCACAATGTCCTCAAAGGTGCGAAGTCTATCCAAGTATTTCAAAAAATAATGCCTGAATCTGCAGATGACTATATGCTTCTCGGAAAGTTCAATTTTGGTCAACAGATCTTGAACTTCCGAGTCCACCTCCAACGGACGTTCCCGGAGATTCTTTTTAATCATTGGATTAGCATCAACGGACTCCAAAATTTCATCTAAAATATCTGTTTGATTTAGACCATAACTTAACAAAAGACGAATCATGGAAGGAGAGTTGGTAATACGGTCGAAGCAAGCCGACAAAACCCATTGCCTGTCATGAATTTTGTCCAGATAATCGTGAATCGCAGCTTCGTATATCTCAGAATTACTCCACCGAGCCTGATATATTACATCTGTGTCGAGACGGTAGGTTTCAGCTATTAACAATGCATCGTCGTATTCGAGAGCGTCAATTTTACGATGGAGCAAATCTTTGGGTAATATTTTGGAGATTCGATTGAGCCGAAATGTTCGCTTCGGAATTGTAATAAATCGGCCGCGGACAGTTGAAGAATCGTTTTCAAAATGCCATAACAATGTGTCGGTTACATAGTGCAATGAATTCGCAATCGCAGCTATGAACTTATTCGTTTTGGACTCAAATTCATCATCCACCTCGCCTTCCTCTTGAGCTCTCGAGTAAGATATGACGTTATCACCGTGAACTCGCGCACGAATTGTTTTGACCTCATGTTCGATGACCAGAAAACGAGTGTTATATTGAATGGCAATCTCACGACAGGATTTAAATGTTTCAAGTGAATCACCCAAAATATTCACCATTCCGGGAAGACTGGCGATGATGACCGAACCACTTTGATAGCCCAACACGAGCGCATCGTCTGACCACCATCCAACAGACACCACCTTTCCATTCTCCAGTCCAGGAGTTCCAGAAACATCACTACCTTCATTTTCAATCTCCAAAATCTTGTCCCGAAATTCTTCAAAAGTCAACTCCTTGTATTTTTTTCCTCTTGCAAAGTAATTTAACCGAGGTTGATTCCACGACTGATCAATCACAACCCCCTTGGAAAATGACACCTTCCAGAGGTTAACAGTCCCCGAAAAATCCAAGGTTAATAAGTGATTTTGATTGGGCGAAAGGATCATGCTGTGGACAATACCGTCAGTGAAATTTTTATTAACCTTACGCCAAATTGAAAAAATATTCTTTATCCGAGAAAACAATCCAGCGTCGTCGCCAGCACCTTGACTCAAATTTGATATGTCATCAGTAGATATGTCCATGGTTCCCTCCAACTCCAGCTTATGATAGAATGGTCGATCTGGTAATAAAATCCAACATGCTACCGAAGTTGAGGTTCCCCCATCTTCGTTGTTAGGCTCTCCGCCAAGACAAAGCAACAATCCATCCGTGGTACCAACATCCCCACACACGACAGTGGTCAACCATTGTTTAAAATAGAATTTATGATAGAAAGCAAAGAATCCTGGATCAGATGTCCCTTCACGTGTATAGGTTGCACTAATTTTGGATCGTCTAGAGAAGGAATCACTTTCATCGACTGCTGCAGATTCCGGTGTGTTAAGCAGATAACTACGCAATACACTGTCGTAAGTGACGACGATCAATTCGTATCGGTAAACATGCCCTTCAAAGTTCAATGGTTTGTTTGATCCACGCTTAGAATCCACGAACGACAAGAAGGCCACAGGTTCAATAAAAAATCTTGAACTACCCTGAGAATCAGTTTCCGCATCGGAGTTAATGTTTGAGCTGGAAAGAATTACACATACTAGCTGTCCGTCTTTGTTGATGATCTCTATCGTGCCATCGCTTCTCGTCGCAGCCAAAATTTTCGAGTCCATGCTCCACGCGAGACGTCTCCACGCTGGAAACGCATCTCTCTTCGAGTTAAAGATCGCGTGATTTTTTTCAAAGTCACTTTCACTGGTTCGAATCTCGATCTTGTGCTCTTGTAAAACGGCTAAATATTTACCGTCAGGGGAAAGTCGCATCAGCCATTCGCTCGTCACCTTGGGACGCGCTTGTATAAGTGCGGGAGGAACAGTTGTAGATATGGTCAATCCTTCAAAACTGCGCGCCAGCCGGTGTGTGACATGTTTGAATACACGTTTCGGAAGTTGAGAGTAGGACGGGTCATCGTTAGTGAAGGTGGTAACTTGCGAATCAGACTCCTGATCTACTGAAGTTTCATCATCGGGTTTCCATGCGGCGACAATGTCTATATCATATAAAATACGACTAGACTGACTCGAGTCAGCAAACATTATTTTGAAACTTTTCTAGAAACTTTTTTTTTTTATTACGGTTTTTTTTATGCTACAGTGACAAGTGATGTATGTAGTACAATGACCCGGTATTCGGTAACCTCGCGACTATAGCTGACGTCAAACCTACCACGTTACGTGTTAATTTTATAAATACTTTTCATATACTGTATACTGTATTTTGAAAGTACTGTATGTAATACCACATAACTATAAAATTTGCAGATTTTTGTGTTAAGCTCCGAGAGAATTGAAGTCACTGCGTACAATTATGAAACGAGGGAATTAGTCTTGCGATTTAAATGAAATACATGGTTTTATCTAAAATGGATGTACAAAGACTTTAATTTTTCTTCCAAAAAAAGAAAGCAAGAAAAACGGAGAGTCAAATGATCATCCATCACCTTTGGATAAACTTTCTTTAACTTCCTTCAGTACAAATTCGGTCTCACCACGCGGTTGCTGTTCCAAATGAAGCCTAATTCGAATATTCTTCTTTGAGTCGACAAATTAGATCTCAACAAATGATAACGAAATAGATGTTTATCACCTTGCGCGTTTGGCCGCCAAGTGTGCATAATCTATAAAAAAAAAACCTCGATCAGAAATCTATTGATATGGTGATCGAACTTATCATAGGTTCTGTGATGCTTACACGCAGCCGGTGAAATTGACACAGATCGTGTCGCTCTAAATCAGCAAGCACATGAGCGGACGTATGCATGCGGTATCAAGATGATGCTACGTTATCCTACCTTTGGTAATTATAACAAAGTTTGTTCGTCAAGTTTTGCAATGTGTCAGCGTTAAAGTTGTTCTCGTCAAAGAGGACATGGTCTAAAGAGGATTAGTAATGTGATAAGATGAAATATCAGCCTTTACAATCGTTAAAAAGTGCACGTACAATGCGCCGGTCGTGACGTTCCATGTAAGCTTGAGTGCGACTGCAGAACTAATTTAAAATAAAATGTCGAGTTTAATGATTCTTCACGTGTTCTCATCCATAATTATTGTTGAAAAGCTTACAGAAATCAAATAGATATGGGTGCGTTATCTTCCGGTCTACGACAGTACCAGCGAGACAATTTCCCTTGCTGTGAAAAAGGATAATGTTAACCACGAGAAAATATTTTTTGGCTGATAAATTCGATTTATACCTGTCCGTATCGCGTTCTTGCTTTGGAAAAAATCGCGTGTGATGCCGCTTTCCAACTATGACAAAGGTGATTGGTGGCGCGTAATTTTCATCTATTTTTTTGCAGGCGTCTACCAATATAGCGCCCGATTTGGTCGTATAAGCATAAATGTTGTCTGGTTTCTTTTTAAGTAGAAAAATAATGATATTTGAACAACCTTTTATTTGCTCCAATTCATAAGTCAAAACCATCTCGAATTGACTTTCGGAAACTCCATCCCGATACATTATAATCTTCTCAGGTAGAATACCATTCTTATAGCGATAGTCCCTCAGAATTTCTAGAACCATTCCACCCATGTTTTCAATTCTTTCTTGTCTCGTCCTTTGGCTTTCTAGTTTAGGGACGAAACGGCCACCTTGACGATCGAGAGAACCAACAACCGCACATATGGAAGGTACGTCTTGGAAGAAATATGAAAACTCAAATGTCACTACCATTTAAAGATAATTCTTTCGTGATTTTACAGAAAAATATGTACAGATCTATTACTTGAAGGGCCAGCACGACCTCCAGTCGGATGGGTAACATCAGCGCCAAGTAGAATTACTGGATCTTTAAAAAGTGGTATCTCTGCCTCTTTCAATGACTGATTTGTTCCCCCGAGTTTCAAGTTCATTTTGAGAGCAACATTTGCGCAGTATTGCTTGTTCTTTTTTGCCACCTTTTCAAGTTGTACGCATTGCGTGGGAACACCAAGAATGGTGTCAGCTGTATACTTAATGGCCCGATATCGCTTTTCATCATCATCCGGTAGGATAAACAACATCAGTTGAAGCTCATTCCGTAAAAACCTTCGAGCCTTTTCATACTCCTCTTCAACTATACGCTGATATGTCGCCGGATCTCCGGTATGTCTTGAATAAACAATTCTAGGTTCGCTCTCTGCAATTTCCTGAGTATCCATAGCAACGTATAGACGAAAATTGTCACAAATTGAAAAAGAAAAGAAACACGTAGGCTATCTCAAGAAACGCAATCTATTACCATGCCTTGATTCTTACTAGTATCAACAAGTTCCTTTATAAACTGTTCGGCCTTCTGGCGTGAAAATTTCTGTTGGTGAACAAAAATAACGACGACCCAATAACGCAGCGTCTCTCCGCTTTTGACAAATTTCCGGTCCTTCAGGTTCCATCCACCATTCAGTGGTCTAACCGTTTCGCCAGCTTTGGAAGATGTGTGATAGGCTATTTGTGGCGGCTTTAATACGCGTGCTTTAAGAAAAAGTCAATACTTAATAAAGCGAATGAGAAATCGCCTCTGCAAATCATCATTTTGCGTACCCGGGATCTCTGCCATCTTTTGTTCCACATCCATTCCAAAATAATTTAGCTTAAAATCTTTCTCGAATTGCAATACATTTTGGACGCCCTCATTGATGCGTTCTACATTATCCTGAGGAGGCAAGGCCGTATGTCTTATCATTATCCCTCTTTGTGCGCTGTTCAATTTTGCCACGGGAAACCTCTGACCCTATACCGGTGAAAGGGATAAAGAAATAATTAAAGATTGATCATTTAATAAGGAACACGAAGCGACCTCACCTCAATGATATCGCAAAGTTCAATAGGATATTTGTCATTCTTTCGACCCTCAGTTTCAACGAGATGCGAGTATCGAAGAGTTATATTATATTTACGTTGGTAATATGAATATATGTCGATCCTCTCACCGGACTCCGGTATTTCGACTTTAACTTCGTGCATATTATTGGGACATAATCTCTTGATTTTAAGCTGCGTATTTACTTGAGGACGATGGAGAGGCCTGAACTTAAGACCTCGTATTAGATCGGTAATCTGCTCATGTTGGCGCTGACAGAATCGATTGGGAATATTGTCGGACCTCGGATTCATACCCAGATATTTCGGAATTAGCAGAGAAAGCTTTCCTGACTCGTAAAAGACTGTGTAAGTTGTGTTCACATTGATGAAATAACTGTCTGCAAGTCGTGAAAAATAGATAAGGTGTGTTGTTCAAGAAAAATTAGTGATATTCATCCGCGCGAACGAAAGGAATTTGCACTGTACCTTGGCCGGGTCTAACGCTCTCAAACCATCCCATCCATAATTCCACCCCCCCTCCTAGAGACTTTCGAGTTGAAGGTAAGTAAGTAGATTCTCCGAATTGTGTATAACTCATCGAGGGCATGTGGTGTATCAAAGCATTGAGACCACGAATGCCGGCTATCACATTTTGAAAATACGATGACTTAGAAATCGTGCTCAATCTTTCAAGACAGCATTAATAGCATTTGATAGTTACCTAGATCAAAATATTCCCACTTCATTTCTCTTCCCTCCAAGCATTTCCCCAATTCTTCCAGATCTACTCGATCGAGCTTACGAACCTCGACCCTATATTCCAAAGAACCCCCCTTGGAATCAGGATCATCCTCTATCGTAATCTGCAAACGTGTCAATTATACATTGATACTATATTAGTAATGACGTTTAAAGGTGTAATTACGCGTTCTCCCGCCCCACATCGCACCGATGTAGCTCCAGTATCCGAGTTCAAGACCAACAGGTCTGTTGAGTATATGGTTTCGTTGCCTATTCAAATAGTAAGGCGCACGGTAAACGATAATCAATGAGAGTTGAGAATTCCCTTGGCATAATATAATGCATGAGTCACAGATTTACCGTCAAACACAACGCCAACTCCTTTGAACCATCCATCCCGTTCTTGCTCTTCCAATTGTTGAAATATAATTCTTTGTATGTTAACCGAAAGTTGTTTCTCATATTTAGGCGCTCTCCGTTTGTTAACACTTTCACCCTCTGATTTTTGCTGCATTGCCAATTTCATCGTGATCGCATATTTCTCGAGATACGGTTTATTCGCGATCTAATGCGAATATCGAATCGGAAATATTCGTCACGTGATCATGCGTAATTCTGCTTAACCATAAAAAAAAAAAAGCATCTTACTCTCTTTACTTCGAAATAGTTCGTCGTGATATGGGTAGAACGTCCAGACCTTCCATAATTAGGACGTTTAGCCATGTTTTTTATTGCTTTCTCCCTTAATGCATTGTACTGCTGGTCTATAACTCTTTCGGTAGATTTTATCTTAGCGGATGTTTCCATTTAGACTTTCAGTCCGATGAAGTGATACTTTATTTAATCCTCTTGGAATTAGCTATTGCAAGAAAGAATTTTTTTTCTTCACAGCCCCAACAACGGTTCGGTTCTAATATCAGCCAATCACACGCTACTTCTTGAATCAACCTGATTATATGGGCCAATCCAGTAATTTGAAGAAAGAGACATCGTTTTAATTTTCTGCACGCACGCACGTATCTCGATCCAATTACGTAGCGACTTACCTAATAATAATCTAGGGTGCAACTTATATAATTAATACCAAATAGAGATGTTAATTGAATCTTCTCTCAACTCGATCATTGAGTCAGGTGATAACATGTGATTTTATAATAAGTTTGGGAGGAATGCGGGTGGATTCGTTCGCTAGACATTATACAGGTGTAAAGTTATCCTTGTCGAGTTACGTGAGTGTTTTAATCCGACGAGATCAAGGCGTCAAACCATTAATTAATACCAATTAATAACCAAGTCTGTATTTTGGGATGTCTGTCCCAAATCACAATTTATTTTTCACTAATTTTTTTATAAATGCATTGATCATTCATTATTTTCGCAGCTGCAGTAAATCTGGTTATAATGTTTATGCAAAACAATATACAGGGTATGTTATAAAAAGTTTCTTGCATTTTGACCAGGATCAAGTAGTTGAATATAAGCTATGTTTATCAATATTTTCTTTTCTAATTTTTTTTTTTAATCTGCAATTATATTATATATAGTGATCGATTTGATTCAGTTTTTATAAATATGAATCGAATATGGATCCAATTTGTTTTAAACTGATCCAATTCAATTTGAAATCATAACAGTTTGATCCAATCTGATTCAGTTCATTTCAAATCTGAATCCAAATTTAATTTGATTTGATTTGATTCAAAATCAAATTGAAACTGATTTACAGTATATATTTTGAATCTGTTTCAAAATATATTCAATTATAACTGTTAATAAAAAATTTTAACTAATATATTTACTTTCAAAAATATTTTTTAAATTTAATTTTTATTTTATTAAATTTAAATAAATTTATCTATTCTATCTATAATCATTTGTTTGCTTCTATATTAATATACTCCCTACTATAATCAGTACCTTCTAAAATAATTTAATTTTCTATATTATTTTTTTCTTTATTTTTTATTATCAATATTTCAAGTGCTTGCAAAGCATGTTAATCTATTGATAATTGATTATATCGATAATCCATATGATATTCTTCTTTTTTATTTTCTTTTTATTTTTTTATAATTAATACTATTTTTTTGATCAAATTTTGAAACAATTCACAAGCTATACCCTCCATTGACAATTTTGTAGTACTATGCAATTTATTTTCTAACCAACAATAAAAAATATTTTCTAGTAAGAATTATAGCAATTTTAATTTGTTATTAACTTAAATTTTTAATAATTTGTAATGTTTAAAAAATATCTGACATTTTAATTTTAATTTTTCATTTAACTATATAAAAGTTGTCTTCATCAAAATTCCCTTCATTATAAATAAAATTTTTATAATTAACAAGTTATATTTCTCTCAGACAAGTAGTTGTAATTACATGATCCAAAAAATTGAAGTCAATGTAAACAAATTTGTTGTATTTCTAGGTTACATAAGTTTCATATAGACCTAAAGAATGGTTTAAATATATTTTTTATTATCAAAAAAAATTGTAATTCTTTTATTAGTAATACTATATTTATTGTTATTTAGTTAAAGTAGATCATATTTTTCTATTTTTTTTTGTATACTTAAGATCATATCTTCAAGAAATATATATATAATATATTTGAAAAGAAAACTATTCATCACTATAACTTTTTCCTTTTGCTAATATTGCCTTTCAAACTCTTATAATTTAACAGGTATATTATTAATATAAATAAAGATTTTACTTTCTCTTATCAAAAGATATTTGCAAATATTAACATTAATAAAGTTTTAAAAATCAAAAACTTAAGTTTAGTTAAATATATACTCTGCAATTGTTAAGATATTTTGATTTAATTCTTTAATTTCTAATAATTAGGAAACTTGTCTATGCAAAACAAATATATCAATAATTATACTTCTCATAAGTTCATATACATTAGGACCAATATGATTTTGATATATAATTAATAGTACCTTGTTTAAGAATTTATCATGAATTATTATTTTTTTATTTTTTTTTTATTATTCTTGAAAAACAAAAAGTAGTATTAATAGTAGGTACATGGAAAGACAAAAAGTTTATTTTTTTAAATATTCACCTTTTTTTTCTTTTTTTTTTATTATAACCAAGGAGGGATTATATATCATTTTTACTGTATACATTTTCTTAAATACTTTTGAATTAATAAATTTTCTTTAATATATAATTTAGTTAAATTAATGTAGTTTCTAAAAAATTATAAAAATTTTAACATATAAAATTTTTATGGATTTTTTTGTATTATTAATGCTGGTCCTTAAAGCAGTAGTAGTATTTTTTAAGTTATTATCACAAGTAATCAAGAATCTTAAAAAATCTCTCTACCAATTGATCTGATATTATTTTATTATTAATAAAATTGAAAATATATACAAGTATTTTTAGTATATTTACATTCTAATAAGTATCAATGTTAGGGTTAGAAATAGCCAGATAGATATTCAACAAGCTGTATATTAGTTCACTTAAAAATATAGTATATTTTATTGAGTCATTATATTTTTATGATATAAAAAAATGAAGAATAACAATGAAGATTTTTAAATTGAGGCATATAAAATTAGTTAATATATATAATATTCTACTAATGCAAAATAAAAAATTGATAGTCAAAATATAACTTGTTATTAATAAAATTTCATATGCTAACTCAGGATTTCTCATTGGAAGCAAATGATATTGACTTATATTTGCAAGTAGTATATATCAACAAGCTTACTTACACTAGTTTAGGATTTTCTACTAGAGATACAAGGTATACTTATTACATCATTCTTGTTCCAAAATCAATACAAGCAAGATTACTAGTTCAGGGTTTCTTTTTAAAGACAATATTGGTACTGTATCAATACTTGCAAGCACTATCTTGTATCAATATGGGACTATCTATACTAGTTCAGGATTGACTACTGGAAGTATATAGTATACTTAACTGATACAGTATATAAAGGATATATCAATTTAAAATTTTTTTTCACTAACCTTTTGCAAAAAAGAATCAGTGATTTTTTGTAACTTTTTAACTTTTGTTAACTTGGTTCATATTAAATAAATAGTATTATAATTAATAATAATAGCAATAAAGTAATAGCAGAACATTATAGTATCAATAAATATTGTTTATTTGTTTATGATATAAGCTAAAGGCTTATGATTGATTGCAACTAAAGGTTGAAAAAACTAGGAACCAAAAGTAAGTATTACAATTAATACTAATAATAATAAAATAATGGCAAAAATATATACAATATCAACAAAATATTACTTATCTATAACTATAGAATATAAAACTTGTAGATAACTATAGTTGATGGTTGGTATAACTGAGAATTGATTAAGTTAAAGCTGACTATTAAATAGTTGTATAAAATATAAAATATAAAAAAAATAAACATAGATTATATATTAAACAATAGTTATAAAAAGCTGGCAAAAATATAAGGATGGCTAGTTTATTGCTTACACTAATTATTAAAAGAAACTATTTATTAGTAATAATAAAATTAATTATAATTTTTTTTATAAATTGATTGCATATCTCAGATTTTATACATATTTATATCTATATTTATATTATTGATCTACCATATTATCAATTTTTAATAATTATAGGGCTTGCATCAAACCAATAATTGCAATACTTCTACTGATAATTTTAGTATTTATAACAATAATACCTGCTTTAAAAATTACCTGTTTTAATAATTGTTTCTTCAATAAATGTAATTTTATTTTTAAACTTCAATAAATATAATTTTAATAAATATAATTAGAGTTAATAAAACTTTTATTTAATATATTAAATATTATTTTATATATAAATAGTATCAAATTTTATATATCAAATTTGTTTAACCAATATAATTAATTATATTATTGTTTTTAAAAATCAAATCCACTAGAAACAAGATTGCCAAGCTATTTTAAAAATATAAAATTAGCAAAGTAATATAAGCCAGATATGGATTTTGTTATAAAGATAAAACCAGTTTATAATATTCTATTTTATAAATGTATTAGAAGTAAAGTATTATAAAAAGATGAAAATAGGTGAAAAATGATATATATATAATTGATAACTTATTTGGTTATGAGTAATATATTCAAATAATAATATTCACTTATTATTTTTATTTTTATTTTTATTTTTTTTTTAACCTGCAGTCAAGTCAGCATAGCTTGTCTTTATTATATATATATCAAATATTTACAAATTATTTTGACTTTCACATATTAACTCACCTATCATCGAAAAACTATTTTTCTAGATGCAACTTAGAGAATAATATTTCGCTCCTTTACTGACTTGGATAAATCCTTCAATCAATAAAATCATTGCCTACAGGTCATTATTGTAGATCATTCTAAATTCCAACTGCAATTAAAAACCAAACCATTTC